GTAGCCCTATCTCAAGAAAAGAGTAAGAAAGCAAGACTTCTAGAAGAAGCCTTTGCAAAACCAAGATCCAATCGGTAGAAGAAAAAGATCTTTACATGTACTCCTCTTCTTGCAAGTGATTTGGGCTTAGATCTGGGAGAAATAAGGGATATTTGGGTTAAGAACCCTAGGGTTTTCGGAAGAGAAGAGAAAAGGAAGAAGAGAGAAGGAAAAATGTGAAGAAATGATCTAAAAGTACCTTTTTAAAATACTAATTTCGCGTAGACCACTCAAGCGGTGAACAACATCTCTCAATACTTTTGTCTACAAAACAAGCTACTGGAAGCCCTGCATCTTCACTCGAGCGACCAATAGTTCGCTCGAGCGGTCCACCCTGACCTACAAAACTACTGGATGCTCTCAATCTTCACTCATGTGGTGCTTTCACCGCTCAAGCGGTCACCTGGAACAAAATGTCATAATTATTCTCTAAATTTATGGATCAAACTAAATTGTGAAACTTTAAAAATGAATCAAAATTGAACCCACAAAAAACTATTCAGTTTTATTAAGTTTCACGACTCTAAATTAAGAACTTCATCACTATATTTAGAATATGTAATTTAATAAATATTAAGTCCTATACAAGCATTCCAAAAATTTCATAAACATACTAAAATTTTTCGAATATTCTCCAAATTATTTTTTATAAAATGTGTGAAGATAAATATATATATATATATATACTCATATTACATATAAATTTCTATGAAACTAAAATTTTCAATAATGTTTATTTTTTGAGACAAAATTTTTTATCTCAAGAGGTTAGTAATTAATCATTAAATGTCTAATTTTGTCGCTAAAAATATAATAATAACACTTTTGGTATAGCACTTGTGTCCTCTAAACTATTGGAAAGTGTATTTAATTCCTTTATTTTCATTTTGGGAGTCTTTGGAGTTGTGTATTTTGGTTTTGGAGGAGTATGATTCGATTTAAATTTGTTAAAATTGTTCGTTCGCACTTGTTTACATTGAAAAGTTCTTTGGGAACTTGGAAAATCTATTCTGGTGCCGACACTAACCTTCCCGAGGGTCGACACCACCTTGTTGCCCTGTCCTTAGTGTCTTTGCTGGTTTTTAAAGTCGATAGGGACTCTAAGGGTCGACCCTTCCCTTGCTGTTTTGTTCTGGGTGCATTCTGAAATAAAGGGTTGACACCACTGGTTCCAAGGGTCGACCCTTGTCCTCTGCACACATTAGTGTCTTAGCTTTTCTTCCTAAAGGGTCGACACCACTGTCTAAAGGGTCAACTCATGTGAGTAAATTTCTAGATTTTTTGTTCGGTTTCGGGGCTCTACTTTTTGGAGTTTGACTTATTCATTCCTTTAACTTTAAGGCTATTATTCTACCACTATAAATAGACCCCAAACACACTTTTCTCATTTACTTGTTCTTTTTCTCTCTCTCTTTCTCTCTCTCTCTCTCTCTCTCTCTCTCTCTCTTAGAAACTCAACTTTCTTACATAGATCTCTAGATCTACTTGGTTAGAGGCATCTTTTCACCTTAGTCCTTTGAGAAAGGTTGTAGAACTCATCAAGGACTTTCTTTTGATCCAAGAGTTTTACGATTTCATCAACTTTGGTTTTCTTCGAGTTCTCCTCTTCGCTTCAAGAGGTAGGGTCTATTTCTTAAACTCATTATGAGTTCGGTAGCATACTTGTGACCTATTTTATAACTAATATTTGGTAGCCATTGGGTATGATCTTTACCCTACTTATTTGTTATTCCAAAAGATCTATGAATTTGGGTGTTTTGGGATAAACTTGGGGTTTGAATTTGAAATGTAAAAGAGAGATTTTCAAATGAGTTCTTAAAACAAATGATGATTTTGTATTGGTGTTGAGATATGTAGACATGGTAGCCTTCCTTTACTGAAAAGTGACTTTGAAAGAAAGTGAAGTTTTGTTCTAAAGCCATGGGTTTTGACTTGTGTTGGAAAACAATGAAAAATGATTTTGGTTTTGGTTTTGTAAGAGATGGGAAGAAAATGGTTGTAGGATTTTGGATATGGTTGTTGTTACTCTTTTGGAAAATATATCTATATTGATATCTTTTGGTTATTGCACTAGAGATAACTATTTTGGCAATCGGTGGAGGACAACATTGTCGTGTGTTAGAAATTGCATGTGGATTAGGAAATTTGAAATCATTCATATCATGGTGCATGTAATGGATTTTGGAAACTGAAACTGTATGTTTTGAAATGAGGTTTTGGAAATTCCTACATTATGTTTTGGAACATTGGCATAATTATGGAAAAATAATATTTTAAGTTACATGTATTGTACTATTGAAAAGGGTAAATAAAATGGTGGATCTGGGAAGAGGTGTGTATCATCAAATCAAGTTGGCATGTGTGTCCAGGGTGGAAGTCTTGAAAAACGCGCGTATATATGGGTGCCGGTTCCTGCAGAAGAAACATCCCTAAAATGGCAATAGTAGTGCTTGTATAGCCTACGTTTACATGGGTGCCGTTTGGCGGTTTCCCACGAACGAAATATCTGTAAAAGGTTGTATGTGTTTTGGAGGTTCACCCATTTATTTACTATTATATATGTTGGTTTGGAATAGGATGTTTGAAAAAAAATGGTTTTAACAAGGTATTTATTGTTGTTTGGCGATGTATTCACATTTGATTTAGTAATGTATTTGTTGGTTGGTATTGAGGTGTCGGGATTGATTTTTAGAAAGGAATTTTATATCAAACGAATGATTTGAAATCGGAAAATGTTTTGATTAAATGTAAGATTTTGGTAATTGAAAAAAAGGATTTTGTTAAGAAAGCAAATGGATTTGATAATGCATTTGGGCATATTGCATATATGTATTGCATCATGAACATTTATTCTGGTGGAGCATGTTTAGTTTCTGAAATATTCTCTACTGGGCTTTATTACATGGCTGAAATGTTTGTTTGTTTGTTTGTTTGTTTTTTTTTTTTTCCAGGTGTACATGTGTGGATGTGAACTGTGACGTGAAGCTACGTTCAGAACCATGTAGGGCGGTTCTGTTATTTGTAAGCCAATGGCCATTTATGTTATTTACTAGCCGTGTGCCATACTTGTAAAGGTTACACCCTTGTAAATGATGTAAGACTTAGAGCGTTTAATTTAATTTATAACATATGTGCATGTTTTTAGTTGCAAAACACCCATTCAACTTAGATGTTGTATCTAGGAATGTATAAAATCGGATAAACACACCATATAGGGCGGTTCTGTTATTTGTAGGCCAATGGCCATTTATGTTATTTACTAGCCGTGTGTCATTCTTGTAAAAGTTACACCCTTGTATATGATGCAAGACTTAGAGCGTTTAATTTAATTTATAACATATGTGCATGTTTTTAGTTGCAAAACACCCATTCAACTTAGATGTTGTATCTAGGAATGTATAAAATCGGATAAACACATGTATTGTGTGACTGTATTATATTCATTTGCATGAGAGTTGTTATCTATTATTTATTGTTTGGTGGTTTATTTACGGGAGGCGGACTGTGTAAATCTGGGGTGTGACATTTGGGGAGAAAAATAATTTATATCTAAAAAGTGATTTTGTCCATAAATTTTCATCTCTAAAACTTTAATTTCTTGTAGTGACAAAATACTAAATTAAAAAGTACTTTTAAAAAAGTTGAGTGAATAGGTGTGATTGGCATATGAAATAATTTTTTGAAATGCATTAGAGGAAGCTAATATTGATGTGAATTTCACGTCAAGAAGAAGAATCACGTGAATTGCATTAGAGTTTGTTACGTTTTCATGGATGAAACCTTAACCTTGTTTGGTGTGGAATAGTTTTCTAATAATTGAATTTTTTATTTTATTTTATTTATTTTTTTAGTGCCTTTTTTTTAAAATAAAAATTATTAAATAAATTTTTTGTTTTTAAATGCACATAACTTAAATACGAAAGAATATGAAAATATATATTCTTTTGTATTTATATATGTTTTTAATATATTTTTTCATAAATGTTGTACTTTTTAAATATATTTAAATTATGTGTATACATAGAAAAAAAAATTAAAATATTAAAAAAATTCACTAAAAAATAAAAAAATAAAAAAACTATAATTTTCAAAAAACTTATATATATATATTATCCTCCATCCACAATGAAAATGGAAGCTACATGCATGAACCCCATTGTCATTCTTAAAATAAAAAAAATAAAAAAAAAAGGAAGACAAAATAAGTTAAAATAGTCAATAAGACAAAATATCACATTAAACACATAATCATTTCATTTTTTCTCTCATAAACATCATATTCAATTATAAAAAAATCCAATCATCTTTCTAAACACAAAAAAAAATTAGGCTACTAAAATAGTCAAAAATTAAAATAGCTTACTAAAATAACCAACTTCCCAGACGAAACTAATATATAATAGAAAATGATGCGTCCTTATCCAAACTCAATTTTTTTTTGAATAAATTACAAATACACCTCCTGAGATTTGTTTAAAATACGAATTGTCTCTTGTGGTTTAAAAAATTACAAATACTTTCCTGTCAAAATTTTTTATTTAACAAAATTAATTGAAAAAGTAAAATTTTTAACTATTCACCTATACAATAATAAAATTATCTGAATTATTAATTGAAATAAAATTTTAAAATTATTAAAATTATTAATTAATTTGATGACATATTAATAAAATGACTTATTTATTATGAAATTAGAAACCTTAGAAAGCATAATATAATTTTTAAAATCACGGGAATAATTTATTATTTAAGTAAACCTCAAGGCTTTGTTTATAATTTGCCCAAAATACTTTGAATAACCCATCAAATTTGGATTGTTATTCAAAAGTCATTTAAAATATCTCCCAGATTGACCAGCCAAGTCTGGACCAAGAAAAAAAGCACTATATAGAGCTAATAACATTAGACACTAAACTCACAAATACACCGAATACCAAATTGTGTTGTGTTGCATGTTTATCATGGGTTCATCATCCATGAGAGTTGCAGCAATTGTTTTTTACCTTTGCTTTCTCACCTTTGCAACATTTCATAATTGCTTTTGCAATGGAAACTCCAACATTGTTTGCTCCAAAACTGAAAAGCAAGCCCTTCTAAAATTTAAGCAAGATCTTAAAGACCCTTCGAACCGGTTGTCCTCTTGGGCTGGTGACAACTGCTGTCAATGGTCCGGAGTTGTCTGCGACAACTTCACTGGTCATGTCCATGTGATCCACCTTCCTTATAATTATAGTGATGCTGATTGTCATTATAATGGAAGTTATTCTGAATATGAAGCTTGCTGGCGTCATCACCAGTTAGGAGGTAAAATAAATCCTTCTTTGCTCGATTTGAAGCACCTCCGGTATCTGGACTTGAGCGGGAATCATTTTGGAGGGATTCGCATTCCTAGCTTCATTGGCTCTATTGGAAGTTTGAGGTATCTCGACCTGTCTGGTGCCGAATTCAGCGGAGCCATTCCTCATCAACTAGGAAATCTCACCATGATACGTTATCTGGACTTGAGCTTCAATTATCTTTATCTTCAAGGTACTTTTTCTGAAACTGAACTAAAGTTACGTGGTGATAATTTACACTGGGTTTCAGGTCTTCTTTCATTACAACACCTTGATATGTCACGGGTAAACCTTAGCAAAGCAGTGGATTGGGTAGAGGTGATGAGCACGCTTCCTTCTTTGGTAGAATTGCAGTTACGTGGTTGTGATCTCAAATATTCTTCTCCTTCAACTACCATTAACTTTACATCACTACATATCCTCGACCTTTCTGATAACAATTTTGCAGAGTCTATACCTAAGTGGATTTTTAGTTTGCATCATCTAGTTTCCCTAGATATCAGTTATTGTAACTTTTATGGCCCAATTCCCAATGGCATTCAAAACTTGACTTCTCTCAAAGAGTTTTATGCTGATGCAAATAATCTGAATTCATCATTGCCCAAGGGGTTGTTTAGCCTCAAAGACCTTGTTGTTCTGGAATTAGGCTCCAATAAGTTTCAGGGACCAATTCCAATTGGCCTTCTAAACATGACTTGTCTTAGAGATATAGGTTTGGGAGATAATCTTTTCACTACGTTGCCGAATGGGTTATTGTCTAGGCTTAGCCGTCTCGAGTCGGTCTATCTCGCGGACAATCTCTTGCAAGGTGTAATCTCAGGAGCCGTAGGAAACTTGACTTCCCTCATTAGCCTTGATTCTAAACATGAGTAGTCTTAGAGATCTAGATTTGTCCTACAATTTTTTCACTTCCTTGCCAAATGGGTTGTTGTCTAGTCTTCGAGTCAGTCATTCTCAGTTTCAATAACTTGCAAGGAGTAATCTCAGGAGCCATAGGAAACTTAACTTCCCTCATTCGCCTTGACATGTCACACAATCAACTTGAGGGGAAAATAGCAACATCATTGGGAAAACTATGCAAGTTGAAGAGAATTGATTTATCATATAACAAATTTGGTGGAGAGGTAGCTGAAGATTTCAAAATTTTCTCCCAATGCATGTTAGATGGATTGGAATCAATGTCATTAGAGAACAATTATCATGGTGGTCAATTTCCAAATGAGCTTGACCAGTTCAAAAATCTATCCTTCCTTTCTCTTCAAAACAACTTCATTTTTGGTCCCATTCCGAAGTCGATGAAGAGATTATCATCCTTGACATGGTTAGATGTTTCCTATAATCATTTGAATGGACTTCTTCCTGAAAGTCTTGGGCAACTTGCAAAGTTAGAAACTTTAGATCTTTCATATAATCATTTGAATGGAACTCTTCCTGAAAGTCTTGGGCAACTTGCAAAGTTAGGAACTTTAGATCTTTCATATAATCATTTGAATGGAACTCTTCCTGAAAGTCTTGGGAAACTTGTGAGGTTAAACTATTTAGATGTATCTCATAATTTGATGAAGGGTGTTGTCTCTGAGATTCACTTTGCCAATCTCACAAGATTAAGTTACTTAGATGGAAGTGGGAACAATTTAACTTTGAAAGTGCGTGATGCTTGGATCCCCACTTTTCAAGTTAGAGCTTTGACGTTGGCCTCTTGGCAATTAGGGCCGCAATTTCCATCTTGGCTTCAATACCAAGGACAATTAGAAACATTGGACATAGCCAACACAGGAATTTCTGATTCTATTCCACAATGGTTTTGGCCTAAAATTTCCAACCTTGGGAGATTAAATCTCTCACATAACCAAATTTGTGGAGAGATTCCAAGAAAATTTGATGTTGTTCAAGAGGTTGACCTGAGTTTCAACAACTTCAAGGGTTTGTTACCATTCTTCTCCTTTACTTTGAAATTTTTAGATCTTTCAAATAATTCTTTTGTAGGATCTATCTACCACACCTTATGTGGTCGGATAAGGGAACCAAATAGCCTATATATTCTTAATCTTGGAAACAATAATTTGTCGGGATGGATTCCTAATTGTTGGATGAATTGGCCATATCTGCAAGTCTTAAACTTGGAAAACAACAATTTGATGGGTACTATTCCGCACTCTATTGGACATTTAGCTTCCCTCAAATCATTGCACTTGCGACATAACAGTCTCTCAGGAAAACTACCACAATCTCTTCAAAATTGTACAGAATTGGTACTCATTGATCTTAGTGGAAATGCATTTATTGGAGGCATACCAACTTGGATGGGGAATTCATTTTGGCAATTGATGGTTCTTAACCTTCGCTCAAATAAGTTTCAAGGTGGCATTCCATATGAACTATGTGGTCTAAGTTCTCTTCAAATCTTGGATCTTGCACATACTAATCTATCAAAACTTGTGCCAAAATGTTTCAACAACTTTATGGCCATGGCAAAAAGACAAAATTCAAGCGGTCTCATTTCTTACGCACCGAGTCCCACAGCAGGAGTTCCAGAAAAGGCATTTCTGGTGACCAAAGGAAGAGAGGTCGAATATAGCACCACCCTTAAATTGGTTGTAAGCATGGACCTTTCAGAAAATAATTTATCTGGAGAGATCCCCAAGGGACTAACTAGACTAGTAGGGTTGCATTCAGTGAATCTATCTAGAAATCATTTTACAGGAAAGATCCCAGAGAATATTGGTGATATGGAGCAACTTGAATCCCTGGATTTGTCTCTAAACAAACTTTGTGGTGAAATTCCATTGAGCATGTCGAGTTTGACATTCTTGAGTCACTTGAATTTGTCTTATAACAATTTGACAGGACGAGTTCCATTAAGTACTCAACTTCAAAGCTTAGAGATTTCCAGCTTTGTTGGCAACAAACTATGTTGACCTCCACTCTCAAACTGTGACACAAACAAGGCAATACCTAAAGTTGGACATGGAAGCAATAAAGAAGGTGAGGGATTTCCAGAAGTGTGGTTCTATGCGATCTTGGAACTTGGATTTGTTGTTGGTTTTTGGGTTGTGGTAGGTCCTTTACTATTTAAGATGTGTTGGAGAATTGCTTATTTCCAATTTCTTGATGATATCCGGTACAATTTTGTAATTTTATTTTTAAATGTCGCTATATCTTTTGTGATTGAAGGAAGAACTCATTTATTCCTTCATAAATAATTATGAGTGTAGTAATTGATGTATTTGTAGTTTCCTTTTGATAACATTTGCATTGTTTAGTTTGCAACAATGTAGTGTGAAAACAAAATGAATGATGAATCCATCAGTCTATTTGGTGTAAAAGTGTTGGCAAACTCAAAATATGAGGAATGATTCTTTAGATAGTATTTAATTTAGTTCACTAAAATAATTTAGACAACCAATAAAATGGCTATTCCTTAATCTCTCAATGGAATTGTCATGCTCCTAATTGATGAATATTATGAAAGAATCACCATTTTGTTCCAAACTCATTCCAAGAAATCAAGCAATGCATAAGGTCTCTTACTTTCCCTAATGCATTTAATTTGAGAGCTAAAGCTGATCTTAGACATTATATGAACCTTGCTAAGCTTAGATCAAGTAGTTCATTGTCATGTTGATGACCTATGTTGAATTCAATTTTTTTGTCATTTCGATCATATTTAGCACATATTATGACCTGCATAGTTTGGGATTCATTTTTTTGTTGGTTGTTGAGGATTGACTAATAAATCTCATATCTTGAACTTGTCATTCATACAACCCTATATATATATATATATATATATAATCCATTTAGTCCTTTTAGCTAAGGAATTCCAAGAAATCAAGCAATGCATAAGGTCTCTTACTTTCCCTAAAGCATTTAATTTGAGAGCTAAAGCTGATCTTAGACATTATATGAACCTTGCTGAGCTTAGATCAAGTAGTTCATTGTCATGTTGATGATCTATGTTGAATTCAATTTTTTTGTGATTTCGATCATATTTAGCACATATTATGACCTGCATAGTTTGGGATTCATTTTTTTGTTGGTTGTTGAGGATTGACTAATAAATCTCATATCTTGAACTTGTCATTCATACAACCCTATATATATATATATATATATATAATCCATTTAGTCCTTTTAGCTAAGGAATAACTCATTTGTCAATATTTGATGATATGGGTACCCGTAACAAATCTCCTTAATTGTTACTGTTTGTTGGAATATTACATTTGAAAAAAGTATACTAAGAAATTTTTTAGCAAACCTTCTATATATACTTAATGTCACATCATACCCGCCCCAAATGTGTCAAGCCCATTTATGTAAGAAACTCCCAATTTCAAACACAAAATCTTCACGTGTGGGAATACCTTAGAATCCCGCATGGGTCGTCATCATCTTTCCAAATTAGAATTATGTAGATTGAGAATCACCCAAATTCGTGGCGTGGAACATGCGAATGTGCATGTTAATGTGGAACGTGCAAATGTCAATGTTAATCACCGAAATTCGTGATGTGGAACGTGCGAATGTAGATGTGGAACATGCAAATGTGAATGTGGATAAAAATTCGGGATGTGGAGCGTGTGAGTGTGAATGTGAACGTGGATAAAAATTCCTCGACTACTCATTATATTAATTGAACTTATACAAATCATTTTAATTATGTAAGTTTTTTTAAATATTTTTTGAATTATTAATTTTGATATGATGGAATATGAATAAGCGTATAACAGTCCACTAATGATCTACAATTATTCTAAAATAATTGGACTTATCTGGTCATAAGAAATTCATAGGACTTTTGGGTATACAAGATTTTTGGAATGGGACTTTCAAATAAATTTTCCTCCAAAGTTTTAAATTTATTTATTTATTTTTATTTTTATTTTTTATTATTTTTTGTTTTTACTCGTTTAAACGGACCAGTTTTTTTTTTTAAAGAAATATAGAAAAAGTCCACTAAAGATGAAAAAAAAAATAGAAAAAAAATTGACTTTTTTTATTTGACTTTTTAAATCTTTTTACATTAGATAGATCTGAAAAGTAAAATAAAAAATAAAAAAATTGACACAAATTTATATCTATATACATAATATAAAAGGTATTTACTAATAAATCATATATCCATGACTTATGTCGTTTAAACGGACCAAATTTTTTTTAAAAGAAATATAGAAAAAGTCCACTAAAGATGAAAAAAAAAAATGACTTTTTTTTATTTTACTTTTTAAATCTTTTTACATTAGATAGACTTGAAAAGTAAAATAAAAAATAAAAAAATTGACACAAATTTATATCTATATACATAATAATATAAAAGGTATTTACTAATAAATCATATATCCTTGACTTATGGGTCATTTAATTTCATAAATATTCTTATGTACTTCTAAGTCCTACCTCACATTAAAACCTCACAAATGATCATACTCACATTTGAAGACATAATAATAAAAAAAATAATATACACATTAGAATAATGTTTCATTGTCACATTTTAAAAATAACATATTTGACAAAAAAATATAATAATATATAGTGCACAAATGTCTTATTGCCACATTTTAAAAAAAAAATGACAAGTTTGACAAAAGTTTAACAAAACAATAGTATACACATTAGAGAATGTCCCGTTGTCACATTTCAATAATAATACATTTAACAAAAATTTAATAAGATAATAGTGCACACATATCTCATTGTCACATTTTAATAAGAATTGAACATATGATAAAAGTTTAATAAGATAATGGTGTGCAAATGTCTCATTGTCACATTTTAATAAGAATAACACATTTGACAATTTAATAAAATAATACTCCCTCCATTCCAAGAAAATAGTCCTTTTTGGAAAATTTAACCTTTTTTTTATAGTACAATTATTGCACTTTAAAAATATTAATTTTTCAAAATTACACTTTGATGGTACATTTTTTTAAGAATATCAATTATCATAATTGTACTGTTTATGTTGTTAATGAATTTAAAAGGACAAAATAGAAAATTCATATTATTTTAGTCCTTGATTTTTACAAATGGACTAATATTTTGAGACAATAAAAAATGAAATAAATGATTAATATTTTGGGACGGAGGAAGTAGTATATATATATTATAATAATGTCTCATTGTCATATTTTAATAATAATATATTTGACAAAAATTTAATAAGATATTATTGCACACATATCGCACTATTACATTTTAAGAAGAATTAATAGCACATTTTGATAAAAATTTAAGGGTAAATTACACTTTTCACCCCAACACTTTGCATCAAATCTCACTTTGGCCCCTATACATAAAATCATGACAGTCAACCCCCTACAATTCTAGTGAAATCCCATTTTGGTCCCTACACATAAAATCTTGACAGTCAACCTCCTTCACTTTTACTCAAATTCTACTTTGGTCCTTATACAAGTGTCAATGTCCTTTTTTTGTTACTTCATTTTTAAATTTTTAACAAAATCCAGTCATGTGACAAAAATATAACTACGAAATGAGACTAAGACGAAAATCATCAATGTTTTCCACCAATACACTTTGTCCTATGTGATAAGCACATGAGAGTTATATAATACAATATATATATATATATATATATATGTTAGACTTATTTATTTTGATGATTTATTTAATTATGTTTTAATTTATTTGAAAGAGAAAAATAGAATCCAAAATTTATTGTAATGATTTATTTAATTATATTTTAATTTATTTGAAAAAGAAAAATAGAATCCAAAATTTATTTTGATGATTTATTTAATTTTGTTTTAATTTATTTGAAAAAGAAAAATATAATCAAAATTTATTTTGTCCCATTATTTCTCACTTAAACTTTTATCCTAAATATTGTTTGAATGTATTTAATATTTGCTTAAATCAGGAATTCATTTCAACGCAAAAATAATGCCCAAACTAGAGGTTCAAATAGCCCAAAACAAAGGTTCAAATAGCCCAACACAGCAGCAGGCCAAAAAGTTCAAGTGGAAGATATTCAAATTAGTAATGATGGAGTGGAAGATATTCAAATAAATACAACGGCTATAAACGACTATAAACGGCTATAAGTTTCATTATATACCAAAATCTCTAATGTAAACAAGTTACAAAAACAAACCAGAAAATATTTTTTGATCTATAATCACTCACATCTATTCACTGAAAAATTCTCTAGAAAGTGTTCTTCAATTTTTGTTTACATCATCTTTTAGAAATTATACACTGAGACGTATACCTCTAAGCTCATCTTTCATGTGTGAGATTTACAGAAAAATCAGAATTTCATTTTTATATCTATGCTTGAGAGATAATTCTTTTAACTTTCTGTGAAAACAAAAACACTTTCTTTTCAACCTTGTAAGAGTGTAGTACACTCAGTGTTCATGACTTAGAAAGTCTATGTAAAATCTGTGGAGGATTGCTCTATCTATGAAAAGGTTGCTAGTACCTTGTGAAGCTAGAGTATAGAGGAAAATCTCAAGTGAAGCTTGAGGAGTGGATGTAGGCCGAGTTGAAACCGAACCACTATAAATTTGTTTGCCTCTCTCTCCCTTATCTCCTTATTTTATTTAAATTGTCGTAGCTATATTTCACATTTTCACTGTGCTAAAATCATTAACTGACATAGTTATTAGAACACTTGTTTTAATTATTTTTATTTCATTAACTATATTTATCTATTGTGCTAGTCATAATTTTTATTAGGGTATTATTATTTTTATTTGTAAAAACCTAATTCACCCCTCTTAGGTTGTCTTTTGGGTAACAATTGGTATCAGAGCCTAGACTCTTATTTTAGATTTAACCATCTGGGAGTTTCGATCCATGGCAACCTTAGCTGAAGGACAAGCCACAAATAGGCCATCATTGTTTGACGAAAACAACTATATTCATTGGAAGGATAAGATGACCC